TACTTGGAAGGCTGAGACAAAAGGATCACCTGAGCCCAGTAGGTCGAGGCTGCGGTGGCCATGAGCATGCCACTGAGCTCCAGCCTGGGTGACTAAGACTCCAGCTCAAAAAAATAAATAAATAGAATAAAAAATAAATGAAGGAACACTGCATCTTCCTCGTGAGGCTCCTGAGGTGACTGTGAGAGATGAATAGCCCTGGCCACTAGGAGGTGCTCTGTGAGGCCAGGCTGCTGGGGTTTATTCAGCACGTTCTGTGAGGCGGGCCACGGGCTAGGTCACGTTCCACAGCAACCCAGTCCATTTCACTGGCAGGAAACACTGAGCCAGTTTGCCCGAGATCACTCGGGCGCTTTGACTCTAGGTGTGTCTGCCTCCAAATCTAAAGTCGTGTTTTTTCTGCTCATACCCCACTGTCTCCTCCAGGAATTTTGTTTGGCAAAATTACGGCAACAGATGAACTTCTGCCATAACCCCTCCACCCTCCATATTTCCTCTCAGAACCTCTCAGCCACAGAAAGTAGAGTTTGTGTGGTCTTTCCTGACAGACCATCTGGGACCTGAGAGCAGGGTGGGGAGGCAGGAAGACAGGACTTGGAGAGAACAAGACACAGCGGCTTCCAAGACACAGGATGCTTCTGGGGCCCGGGCCAGATGGGGGTCCAGGAAGGAGCGTGTCAGATGCCCCTCCCCCTCCCCCTGTCGGGGTCCTGTCTGAAGGCAGCCACCTTGTGGTTTGCAAAACCATGCGCTGTAACCACCCCCAGGACTTCAGGCCACGGAGACATGTTCAAAGAGAGGCTTCCCTTCTCTGCACAGGACTCCAGCCCCCAAGACCAGAGGGAAAGACAGCTCTTACCACATCCTTCCTCAGCCTTGTGGCCTGCCGCCAGCAGCTGCTCCCTTCAAGGTGGTCCTCCAGAGGACCCAGCCCTGGGTGGGGCTGAGGGGACACTGTCACCACTACACAGACCCCTCTCAGAGGAAGGGGCCCGTGAAGGTGAAGCAATTCACCTGAGGTCCCCCCGCTTCTGCAGGCCACTCCGTCGTACAGTTGTCACGTGCCAGGCCAGCGGCAGGGGAATTCAGGAGGGACACGAGGGTCACAGCCACAGCTGACGGGCCCCGGGTCAGGTGCTTCCTGTTATGTTGGCCACTGGGTGTGTCCAGAGGCCATCACAGGGAGGGGGAGAGAGTCAGCCTTTGATGAGCACAGTGGTACTTTGCCACGTCGGACAGTGGGGACACCGTAATCTTGTGAGTGGGGAAACTAAGGCCCCTGAAACAGACTCACCCAAAGTCCCTGGGTGGAATTTGAACCCTGGCAGCCCGACTCGGAGCTCTGCCAGGGGCCCAAGGGGCTTCCAGTGGTGCTCAGAGAAGCCCTGGGGCTCTGCTGATGTGTCAGGTGGCCACAGGCCACGACAGGGCCCAGGCTCACCCTCAACCAGGACTAGGCTCTGAGGGTAAAACAACAGCTGGAATCATCATTTTGGAACCATTATAGGAAATACCTCTTCAGCAAGAATCATCAGTGTAGCCAGGCATGGTGGCGTGCACCTGTAGTTCTGGCTACTTGGAAAGTTGAGGCGGAAGGATTGCCTGAGCCCAGCAGGTCAAGGCTACAGTGGCCGTGAGCATGCCACTGCACTCCAGCCTGGACGACAGAGTGAGACTCCAACTCAAAAATAAATAAATGCATCAAAAAATTAGCTGGGGCAGGGCACGATGGCTCAAGCCTGTAATCCCAGCACTTTGGGAGGTCGAGGCGAGAGGATTGCCTGGGCCCACAGGTTCAAGACCAGCCTGGGCAACATGGTGAGATTTTGTCTCTACAATAAATCAAAACATTAGCCAGGCATGGTAGCACTCACCTGTAGTTCCGACTACTTGGAAGGCTGAGGTGAGAGGATCGCCGGAGCCCAGTAGGTCGATGCAGGTGAGACTCCAACTCAAAAAATAAAAAAGAAAAAAAAAGAGAGAAAATGACAGGTCGGTCTGGGTAGAGTATATGGATAATCTTTGTATTCTCTTTTTCTTTCTTTTTTTGAGTTGGAGTCTCATTCTGTCACCCAGACTGGAGTGCACTGGCATGCTTCCGGCCACTGCAGCCTTGACCTGCTGGGCTCCAGTGATCCTTCCGCCTCAGCCTTACAAGTAGCTGGAACTACAGGCGTGCACTACCACGCCCAGCCAATTTTTTGATTTATTGTAGAGATGAGGTCTCACCAAGTTGCCCAGGCGGGTCTCCAACCCGCGGGCTCAGGCAATCTACTCACCTCAGTCTCCCAAAGGCATGGGATTACAGGCTGAGCCACCAAGCCCGGCTCGGGCTATCTTTGTGTTCTTATTCTGGCAACTTTTTCCTAAGTTTGAAATTATTTCCAAATAAAAAAGTTTTAAGTATTGAAAAGCATTTTTCCACAAAAAAAAAAAAAAATCCCCCCAGCCACTCACTTCACCTCCATCATCAGGAATAAAGTCTTTATTTTTTTGAGTTGGAGTCTCACTGTCACCCCGACTGGAGTGCAGTGGCCGCTCCCGGCCACCGCAGCCTCGACCTGCTGGGCTCCGGCGACCCTTCCGCCTCAGCCTTCCTAGTAGCTGGAACTACAGGCGCGCGCTACCGTGACTGGCTAATTTTTGATTTATTGTAGAGATGAGGTCTCACCAAGTTGCCTGGGCGGGTCTCAAACCTGTGGGCTCAGACAGTCCTCTCACCTCAGCCTCCCAAGCTCTGGGATTACAGGTTGAGCCACCGAGCCCAGCCAGGAATAAAGTCTTAAAAGCAGAAAATAAAGTTCTTTTCATATATGTAAAAAAAAAAAAGCCATTTTTCCTCGTGACATTCAGCCCCATCTATTGAAACACCATGGCTGGAGGATGACATCAGAAGGGCCAGAGTTTAGCAAGCACAGAGCTCGTGGAGCAGGCAGTGCCCCCAGACCAGCCCGTCGTGAGGGACCCTAGAACTGAGTTTGGGGGATTGGTGATGCCAGTGACCAACTCCTAGCAGCCTTCTGCTTCCTCGAAGCCGGCCCCCACACCAACAAACAGGCTTGTGGCACAAAAAGAAACGTTCCATAAAAAGGGATTTATTGCCAAACATCACAAAAGGCGCTTCATAAGCAGAAGACACAGAAGGCCATCCTCCTCAAGGAGGCAGGCGGGCAGGCCCTGGGCATTCCCATTCCTCTTCCCTGGATGCCAGTGTTCCCCCTAGGGCCCAGGCTGCCAAGCCACAGGAACCAATGGCATTTGGCCACTGAGGTGGCCCCAGTGCTGCTTGCCCAGTCTGGTCACTTGACAGAGGAGGAAACTAAGGCTCCTGGAAGCAGATGACTTGGCTAAAACCCCAGTCAGCTGTGGCTGCCGATGGGTAAAGGCTGTTCCCAAGGGAAGGTGGCAGGGTGTTGCTTGACCAGGCTCCGAAAGTCGTCCTGGCACTGGAGACTGACGGAGGGAAAAGCAGGTTGTGGCATAGGAGCCCAGTTTGTCCAAGGACGGTGGTCTGGGAGGCCAACGAGGGCTTGCAAGCCAACACTTTGCTGCTCACCTCTGCCCTGCCCCCCCCAAGAACAAAGGACAGAACAGTAACGAAGGCATCGGCCTGCATGGGTAGGCCTTCATGGGCACAACTGGTGGCCAGGGGTGGGGTAGTGGGCAGAAAGGCCAAGGCATGCTGCTTGCTATGTCCCTCCCTTCCTTCCTTTCAGTAAAAAAGGAAACAGAAAGTGCACATGCAGAAATCTGGGCAGGTGTGTTGGGAACTGCTCCCATCCCACAGGCCCCAGGGAGAGTGGTTGGGCCCAGGGAGCCAGGCCCAAACCTGTAGCTCACAGGCCTCTGCACCTCCAGGCCCGTCCTTGGTCCAGCTGCTGCAGCAGGAGGAAGACTGGATGTGCTCCCAGAGTCGGGGACACATGGGGGGTGCAGCAAAGGGCTGGAAGAGGACCAGGGTACAGGGACGGAGCAGGAGAGGGAGAAGAGGAAACGCCCCTTCCACCAGAAAGTGAGACGGGAGCAGCTCACCTGGGGCCTGAGTCAGAGGGTGGGGGAAGAGGAGAGAGGGAAGCAATTTCACACCCAGCGCACCCCTGTCGGCATCTGAGGAAATGACTGGGATGCTGGACCTGTGGGGTTGAGAAGGAACCATGAGCCCAATGTGCATCTCCATCCGAGGAGGCACAGGTGCAGGGGATTCTCCTCTGAAGGAGACCTGGGACCATCACACACAGGTCTTGCTGATGTTGAACGGGGCAGCCCTGGGGCTCGCCTCTCCAGGAGCGTGGGAGGCTGGACGTAAGTTGATCCCAGGCAAAGACTAGACTAGGAGACCCTGCGAGTTCCTTGTTCACCCTGGAATCCCCAGATCTAAGCCCTCCAGTCACCAATCAACAGAGGGGAAGGGGCTGCAGAAAATGCCCTTGTTTTCCAGGAAAAGAAACAGACTGAGAGAGAGGCCACCCAGAGAGGCTTCCTCACACAGAGGCCTTTCATCCGCCTCAAGAGGTCCCTGCTGTATCCCAGGTTCCCCTCGAGTGAGGGATGAACCCACAGCCTGGACCCAAGGCCTCAATGGCTACTTAGGATAGGTGGGAGGCTGCCGTGAGGCTCTTTGCCTGGAAATACCTGGGAATGGGGCAGCAGGGGGCTCAGCTGGGCTCCATTCAGAAGTCAGGAATGTAAACTACTGGGGTACGGAACAGAGATGATGCCACCCCCAAGACCCCAAGTGCTGTGCTAAAGCCCTGGGGCAGTTTGGGACAACCACACAAGCACACAGGTCCCAGCATGTGTGCTCCCAACCCACGGGAGCTCGGGCCAGAGAGCCAGAGGGTGGCCCCGGTGGCACCTGGCTCCACTGGCCAGAACAGGGCAGGAAGGACACCAGGAGTCTCTTCAAGTTCTGCGCGAACCCTAACACAAACCCAGTGGCCCTTCTGCAGCCTGAGTGGAGTGCATTTTTCAGCAGGGCTGAGCTCTGGTGGACGGGGTGGCCGGGAGGGACTGAGTCTCTGGCCCAGCAGGCCCTAGGGTGCACTTCTCCGATAGAGGGCCACCAGCTCCTTCTGTGTCTCCCTCAGCCCAGGTGCGTCCTGGCTCAGCTCTCCCAAGTCTCTCATCTCCTGCAGGACCTGGGTGGCTTGCCTCAGCTGCTCCACAGCCTGGTTGAGCAATGTCTCGGCACTCACAGGGGCCGGTTCATGGCCCAGTACCTTGTTCAACAGTTTCTCCGTCTGTTCGGAGGCCACCTTCACCTCCAGCTGGGCCCGATACAGCCGTTCCACAGGCTGCCGTGGACGCCGGAGGCCTTCCCCAAGCAGGTCCCCAAGAGAGGAGCAGCGGGGATGGGACTGAGGGGGCAAGCCCTGGGGCGGCAGTGCCGTGGACGCCGCTCCATCCCCTGGGGGAGTTCCTGAGGTGTCCTCAGCAGGGGATGGCTCGGCAGGCTGGGGACGGTCTTCCACACCGTTCACTGAGACCTGTGCTGGGCTTGGAGCAGAGTCGCCAGTGGCTCTGGGATTCTGGGCTGGCCCGGAATCCCTCTTCTCCCTCATGCAGGCCTTCAGCTTCTCTGATAAGACCTTGGGCGGTGGCGTGGGGGGCGTCCCACTCTCCCTGGGTGCAGTCTCAGAAGTCTCAGGGCAGGGTGCCCGGAATGGCTCTTCCCCTTCTGGAGCGGGGGGCTCCTGAGGGCTGGGGTTCTCCCAGCTCACCTTCAGTTTGTCAGGCAGGATGCCGTCGGGGAGCTGCTCAGAGCCACCGTCCCCCGCAACTGGGGTCTCTGTGTCCTCTTTGCTCTCAAGGGGGACTTCAGAGCTTGCCGAGACAGGTGTTGGGGCTCTCTCTCCCACAGAGGTGTCCACCCCGTCAACAAGGTTGGCCGTCTCAGGCGCTGGAGAAGGCTTGGCGGGAGGCATGGGGGGCCTGGGTGTGTCCCGGGGCTGGGCTGCACTGACATCATGGCGGGGGGCATACGCCGACAGTCCGCTGTTCGGAACATCAAGGTCTAGGCGCAGAAGCCCCTCAGAAGCCGCGCTGGCTACCTGATGGGAGAATAGTATGTGGACATCATCTTGTCTGACTGGTCACTGGGTCAGGTGCACCCACCCTCAAGGGTTCTCAAGCCAGGCTGTCCAGGTCCCCACCTCCACCCTCTGCTCTGGCTTCCCAGGCCACTTGCTTGGCAGCTAAAGTGATTTCCTGATGAATCCTCTCCTCTCCTTAACCACTAAAGAATCCCCAGTTCTTGCCAGAACAGTGGCTCACGCCTGTCATCCCAGCACTTTGGGAGGCTGAGGTGAGAGGACTGCCTGAGCCCAGGGGTTTGAGACCAGTCTCGGCAACTTGGTGAGACCTCATCTCTACAGTAAACCAAAAAATTAACCAGGTGTGGTGGTGCACACCTGTCGTTCCAGCTACTCGGAAGGCTGAGGCGGAAGAATCGCCTGAGCCCAGCAGATCGAGGCTGTGATGGCCATGAGCATGCCACTGCACTCTAGCCTGGGGGAAGAGTGAGACCCTGACTCAAAACAAAGAATTCCCTGTTGTTGCTAGGCACGGTGGCTCAAGTCTGTAATCCCAGCACTTTGGGAGGCTGAGGCGAGAGGATTGCCTGAGTCCAGGGATCCGAGACCAGCCTGGGCCACTGGATCCAAGACCAGCCTGGGCCACTTGGTGAGGCCTCGTCTCTACAATAAATCAAAAAATTATCCAGGCATGGTGGCATGCGCCCATAGTTCCAGTTACTTGGAAGGCTGAGGTGAAAGGATCGCCTGAGCCCAGCAGGTTGAGGCTGCGGTGGCCGTGAGCGTACCACTGCACTCCAGCCTGGGCGACAGAGTGAGACTCTGACTCAAAAAAGAAAAAAAAAAAAATTCCCTGTTGTTGAATCACAGGCCAGGAAGTCAGAGCCGGGGTGTCCTCTTGGAACACCAGCCTGGTTTCTTCTAGCCGGTGAGAGACTCTTTTTAAGGTCAACTATGCTGGCCTGGGTCGGGTGGCAGCTCTGTTTCTGACCCTTATATGGCTGTATGGTCTTGGGAAGGTCCCTTTTCTGCAACCCAACCACCCGCCACCATGCCCAGCCGTGCCCCACAGCCAGCTGGTGACAGAACCAGGACTCAATATACATCTCCCAAGTTCACTCCCTTCTGCTTGTCCCTCTGCTCTGTTTGCCAGTCCCTCTCCAGCCCTTGTCTGCCCAGCTGCTCAGCAGCCTGTGCCCACTCTCATGTCAGCAGGCGTGCTCCCAGACCACAGCCGAGCGCCAGAAAACAGCTGCACCAGCAGGCAGCGACGGCTCCCCACCCACCTGACTCAGAGAGACACCCAGCAGCCCCACAGTCTCAAAGACCCTCCCAGGGAGCTTCAGAGGCCCTGGAGCAGGACTGGGCAGAAGGCCTATCCCACAGTCCCTCAGACAGTGGGGGTCCCGCTGGGCCCCTCATTCCCTTTCACAAGCGGCACAGGATCTGGCCAACACATGATCTCAGTTATTGGGGACCACCACAGAGACACCCCAACACACACACACACACCACTCACTCCCTGAATTCTCTCCAAGAATTCCCTCCAAGACTGGCTCTCCCCTATCCCTCCTTCCCAGCCCCCACCCCCACCCCACCTTTACGTTTCTCTCTGGCAATCCTAGTCGCTCCCCTCTGCAGGCTCCTCTCCCTCAGCTGACAGACAGGCACAGGCTGCCTCATCTCAAAACAAACCCTCCGATGACCTTGGGGCCTTCCTCCCATGGTCTCCTTCCCTCAGGCACCCCTAGCCCTGCACCTCGTGACAGCCCTAAGCTGACTCCTCTTAGAAAATATGCAGTCAACGTCACCACCTGCCTTTTCCTCAGTCCCACCCTTGTGGCTTGTAGCCACCAACCTGGCTGATGACCACCAGGTCCTGTGCCCATATCCCTCTGGGCATGCGACCAGCCTTTCTGGCTTTGTCTTTCCTTGGCACCCTGCAGGCTGAGCCCCCTCTAATCCCCCCCTAAATGTAGCATTTGGTGGGTTTTTTTGGTTTTGGGGTTTTTTTTTAGTCCAAGTCTCACTCTACCGCCCAGGCTGGAGTGCAGTGACACACTCATGGCCACTGCAGCTTCAGCCTGCTGGACTCAGGCGATCCTTCTGCCTCAGCTTTCCAAGTAGCTGGAACTACAGGCACAAGCCACAATGCTGGGCTATTTTTTTTAATTTATTTATCGTAGAGACAAGGGCTTAAAAAGTTGCCCAGGCTGGTTTCGAACCCCTGGACTCAGGCAATCCTCTCACCTCCATCTCCCAAAGTGATGGGATTACAGGCTGAGTCACCGTGCCCAACCCACAAAGGTAACATTTGTTGAGGTTCTTTCCTGGCATCCAAATCCTTCCCACAACTCACCCCCCCAGTCAGTTCCACTGATCTGAAAGAGGCTCCCTGAACGCTCCCTCTTGCCCAAACCTTCCCCTAAATTTCCTGTGCCCTGGGCCTCCCTGTACCCAGGCTCCCAGCTCTGAGGCACCTGGGACAACCTCCCCTCAGTGTCCAATCCCTGCATCCAATCCCAAGCCAGGCGGCTCTTGCTTCCCAATGTCTCTCCCCTCAGCCTCCCCTTTCCATCCCGCCTGAAGCCTGGAAAGTGGCCTCCCCCACCTCCTTGCTGGCCCCCTGCTTTTCTCCCTCTCAGCCCAACCCATCCTACCCAGGGCCTCAAACTGACCTCTGGGCTGTACCCTCCCCTCCTGTCCCCAACTCCTGCATCGAAGGTCTCCACAATTTCTTCCCCAAAATTCCACCTTCTCAGACCATCTCCCAAGCAAGTGGAGCCACTCGGCATACCGTGAAGCCTCCTGCCCACGCCTCAGTTCACATCTCTCCCTCCACAGGGAATCCCCTCACTCCAAATCTGCCAACTAAACCCAATCCTGTTCTTCAAGGTCAACCCAAATGCCAATGGCTTTTCCTGGTCCCTCCTGCCTTGACCTCCCAGAGCCTCCTCTGTACAAAAATTAGATGTAACTGCCGGGCACAGTGACTCACGCCTATAATCCCAGTAATTTGGGAGGCAGAGGCAAGAGGATTGCCTGAGCTCAGGGGTTCAAGACCAGCCCGGGCAACTTGGTAAGACCTCGTCTCTAATCAGAAAATCAGTTGGGCATGGTGGTACATGCCTATAGTTCCAGATACTTGAAGGCTGAGGCACAAGGACTGCCTGAGCCCAGCAGGTCGAGGCTGTGGTGGCCGTGAGAGTGGCACTGCACTCCAGCCTGGGAAACAGAGTGAGACTCCAACTCAAAAAAAAAATTAGATATAGCACTACTTAAATTAGTCTATGGACAGGCCTATTTCTTTTTCTTTTTTTTTTTTTTTTGAGTTG